CCCGCCCGCCCGCCCGCCCGGAGGGAGCGGAGCAGAAACCGGGATGTTTTCATCCGCTCCGAAAGATGGAGGGGAGAAGGGGGCGTGTGTGCTGGGCTCGTCCATGCACAGAAGTGCTGGAGAAGTGTGACGAGGGGCTTGGCTGAAAAATAACTAGACAGCGGGGAGCTGGGTTCCCCCCTTTATCAAACATTTCATCCAGGCAAACACTTCTGAGGAAAGGAGTGTGATCCCACGACTCGGATCCTTTCGGCCAGAGTCGAGTCCATTCCCTCTCCTCCCCCCTCTCCCCCCCTCCACGCACAGTTAATCGCTGAGTATTGTGTTTCAGTGAAGGGGTGTTGTGTGTGTGTGTGTGTGTGTGTGTGTGTGTTGCCTGCTTGCATTGTGCAGCAAAGCGTCTGGACTAGCTGGAGAACGTTATTTCTATGTTTTAAATTTGGGGAGAAAAAATATTTGTGTCCAGGGATCTTCTTTTAGAAAGCTCCCCTCCCCTTTGCTTAAAAAACAGAATAAGCGAGGCAATAAGTCAGATGCTATCTCCAGCCAGTATTTATATTGGCTTAATATTTAAATCTCGTAAAAGTAATGCTTTGCTTAAATAGTCCAGAGTTTTTGCAATAAACCAGGGTGTGCAGCCCAAAGTGTTTCTTTGGCATTCTTGCACTTTGCCCCAATTCCGCTCAGCTTCCCTCCAGTGTGTGGTCTTTGAGTTGTGTAAGGAAACCTCGTCCCCTCGAACACAAACCCAGGATTGTGGAATTTAAAAAACTTCCTAAAGTTAAAGCACATTCTTTCTTCTGCCTCCCCTTTTTGCTTTTTTGCTTTTAAACATCTCCAGTACTGGGCTAGGTTTCCGGATTAGGCATGCATCTGTATGCCAGTGAGAAAAAGAAAGGGGGAAGGAAAAAAGAAAATTAATCAACAGCAAAATACAAATTCAGACTTGAATAGATTTTTGGCAGTTCACGGCTAATAGGTTTCTACTGTCTCTGTCCGGTAAATTTGACAAGTTAAATTCATTTAGAGTGTTCCTTAGCCAGGCAAAACTCACTATGACTTTAATTAGTTTAATCCATTTTAAAATTTGATGCCAATCTTACTTGTCTGTATAGTTTATGGGGCTGTTTTAAACTTTGGATTCATTGCATAGATTGTTGTTGTTGTTGGTAATATTTAGAGTTTGAAACCAGCCTTTTATCATTTTGCCAATTAATTATTCTCCTTTAAGAAGCAGTCAAGTTTTTAGGTCTAAAGTTTGCAATTATTTAAGGAAACAAAAGGTAAACTGTTTAAACCCAAAGCATAACAAAGAGAATTTTAAATGTTACTTATTTCTGAAATTATTTGGAATGTCTGCTTTGTAGTAATTAACTACTGTTTTCTCCTTACTATCAAAATGCTTTTTTGAAAAGGGAAAAAAGTTTCAGTACTATTGTTGTATTTTCCAAGTGAATGATTTTACAAAGGTCTCAAACCTTTAGAGGGTAGTGGTTATAAGGCTTATTTAGTAAAAATGTTTATTTAAAATAGCAAAACCTCATTTAGCATTTAAAATACAAATTCACCAAAATACTTAAAACTAGGTGCAAGTGTATATTAAATTAAGTATCAAAGATTTCAGCTATTAATTTCATATATATTTTGTCTTTAATATTTCTGGTAACTTATTTATTCTATATTATTTTTGTAGAAGGTTGATTCCAAAATGCAGGGAAAAAAAAACAGTTGTAATCTTTCCTTTCAGACACGATAACACAGGACTTCTGTGATTAAAACAAAAGAAAATAAATAAGTAGAGTTAAATTCTGGCTGAAGTTAATGCAAGATAAAATTGTAAAATATTAAAAGCTAACTTAGAAGAATGAGACAGAATCAATGTGGCTTTTGAAGAAATTCCTTTTTGTTGAATGTAACTGATCTGTTTTAGAGTAAATCATGCACTGAAGGCCATCACTTCGAGAAGTTGCTAACTGATTTATCATTTATATTGAAAAGTCTGTGAAGTATGCTGTTGTCCAGAGCCCTTTTTCTGTTGTACTACTGGCAATTATGATGAGCAGTGCAATATTAAAAGGGCATTGGCTGGCAGAAACATGACCCCTTTTAGCAGCCCACCCTCTTCAGAGTGGGCAAACAACCCTAAAATAGATGCCTCCTTCAGTGTATTCATGCACGTGTGTGAAATAAGGTTAAAATTTATACATGTGGCAGTGCTTTTACATATGGAAGGAGATTTGGGATTGTAAGTTCTCACATGCCTTGATATACAATAGTGAATTATTTAAACATACCAAGTTTACAACTCCAGATATTTTTGGGAGTTTTCAAGGCATCATATTACTGGTTTTGTTTACCAATATTTTCTTAGTGATTCATTATTCATCCCCTTTCATAATGTCTGTTGAAATTTTATAACAATTTCTTGATGGATTTTTTTTTTTTTTTTTTTTGCTATATAATAACCTTTCCCTATATATTTAAGGTGGTCTGAATTTAATGCTGCTATTTTGTTGTGTGACTAGGTCTTGTATTGTGATTTTTGTATGGTGACACACGCTCACAAAAATATACGTGTGTGAGATTGTTACACACACACTTTGTGGGTTTTTTTGTCTATAGGTCTCATCACATTCTTGTCTACAAATTCTGTAACGTTTTCCATAACACTTTACAGCACTGTTTATCTATACCATTGCATCATGCTTTATAGGCTTTGTGTTCAACCATCATGAAACAGTACAGTGCAATTAAGAAAACTTCTGAATGCATTATGGCACCTATTGAACATTTATTTTAAATTAGGTAGTTAAGATTAATTTACTGCATTATTTGCCTTTTATGGAAACCAGTACTGTGGGGATGCTGAATTATGCCCATTGTTCTTTTATTCTCCCTGTGTTCATAGAAAAACATTCTAACGTACATCTATCTTTAAAGTGTACTGTGCTTGGCCATGCTGGGTATGTAGCAAAAGATTGAAACTGTTTGTTTAACAAGCCATATCTAACAGTGGTCTGATTGATATTTTTAACTAACTTTTTTGTTGTTGTTTTACCTTGTCTAATTACGATCTCAAATAAACTTTAAGGCATGCAGAGTTTTATTGGGGCTAAACATAAAAACGTTATTGTGGTCAAAAATCTAATGTAACAGTCCCTTACAAAAGGATGCAGGGACAGCTGTGCAGAATGTGACAGTGGCTGCTGGTATCGCTGGCTCTGACAATGTTGCACTACTGTCTGCACAAATAAAGCAGTGCAATAATATTGTCAAAGCATTTGGTTCCAGTCCTAATACATCCTTATGATCAGTTACTGTTGCACACCCAGTCTCTGACGTTGTGGAACTTCATAGTTATTTAATGCATTTTAATAGGCAGCCATCCCTCTGTTCCCCTCCCCCCCACCCCAAGGCTTAGGTGAGCATAAGATTCCAAGATCATTTAAAACCTGACTCAAACAATAAATAGGTTGGAGGGGGCTCTTTTTGGTTGGGGGGTTTCTTTTTTCTTTTTTTTAAGGCTGAATGGTCTTATGGAAATGCCTTGGGTTTTTGTTCCCGTTTGTGACTGCTTCAGTGTACAAAATGGACTTCCCCTCCTACCACTGGTGTGTGTTTGTGTGTCCAAGTTGTACAATAAAAAGACAGCCTATTCAAATTTAAAAGCCCTCTTGTCCTGCTTTAGAACCACCACTACCTCTTACCAAGGCAAAAAACCAAAAGCCTCTCTCCCAGTTGGACCTTTTCTTTATTTCCGGTTTTAAACCAAAGGGTTTTTATGGACCTAAGGATGCTATTGTTGTGTATGGAATCTAGTGATTGTATATATTCACAGGCTATTTAATTTCTTTTTTCCTCCCTGTTATATATTTTTTTCTGGGTGCATTGTAGCTGTTAGTTTTTAGAAGAGTATGTTGTGAGTAAAGTAGAAGTAATACGTTCATTTGCTTAAAAAACCTAGGGGGCATATAAATAATAATCAATAGGGCTTTGAAAGACCTGATCTTTCTCTGCTCTTCTCAGTAGTAAACGGGAAGTGAATCTAGGAGATGCATTGGTGATGTAGGCCTGGAAACAGTTGCGTTGCGTTAGGAATTGATCTTTAAATAACAATATGTTGGCGACTGTCACTTGGATTGTTCTTGGGATTTTCACTTGCAGCTGCTAAGGAAGGGGGTGGGGGTTGTTATCTTTTTACAGGGGCTTTGGGCTGGTACCTTGGGAGAAGGTGCAGGGAAGCCATAATATTGGAAATCAAATCTCTGTAAATGAGAATTTTCGATTGGAATTGCATATCCCAACCCAG